CCAAACACTACTGGGCCGGCCGCGACCCTTCTAAAACTTCCGTTGAACCGCCACTGGGCAGTGGCCCATACCGTGTCAAAGATTTTAAGGTTGGCCGCTGGATTGAATATGAACGGGTTGAAGATTACTGGGCAGCAGAGCTGCCTGTGAACCGCGGGCGCTACAACTTCGATATCATCAAATACGACTATTTCCGCGACGATCAGGTGCGTCATGAAGCGGTGAAAAGCCACGTCTCGGATCTGCGCGAAGAGGAAGTGCCTGGAAGATGGTTCCGCTCCTACGACATCCCGGCAAAAGAGGCAGGATTTTTCAGACAGGAAGCCAAGAAAGTATCCCTGCCTTCAGGTCTGTGGTGGCCCATATTCTGGAACCTGCGCCAGGAACGCTTTCAAGACATACGTATACGCGAAGCGCTGTGGCTGGTGCGGGACCCCGCCTGGGGTAACGAAGCTGTACAGCGCGGGTTCTGGTCTTTAGCACGCAGCTATTTCCACAACTCGCGTATGGCCAGCAGCGGGCTGCCTTCAGGCGACGAACTGGCGTTACTGGAACCCATGCGCGAGCTGGTGCCAGCTCGAGTATTTACTGAAGAATTTGCGCCACCACCAGGGGCGGGAGAGGGTTTTAACCGCGGCAACATCATCCGAGCCATTGAGCTGTTTGACGCCGCTGGCTGGGAAATCCGTGACAATGTCATGGTCAACAAGGTCACTGGTGAGCCTTTTGAGTTGCAGCTGGTTGCGGTATCTACCGCACTGGGCTTTTCCTGGATAGCTTACAAGCGGGTCCTGGAACGTCTCGGCATTCATGCCACCATTGTTGCGCCAGAGGTATCCAACTGGCTGTACCGCATGCGCTCAGGTGATTTTGATGGCGGCGCTATCTGGTTTCTACCTAACAACACACCCACTGTTCTGCTGCAGAACAATTTTTCGTCCGCCGCCGCAGAGCAGGCGTACAGCTACAACTGGCCACACATGAAAGATCCTGCCGTTGATCAGCTGATTGACGCTGTCAATCGCGCCAGCAATGAACGCGAATTCCTCGCGGCAATACACGCCCTGGATCGTGTACTGCTGTGGAACTTCTATTTCATGCCGGGTACGTCCCGCTCCAGCCACGGTCTCGTATGGTGGGATAAATTTGGCTACAAAGAGACCGAACCGTTGTTGCGCATTGGTTATCGCGACACATGGTGGTGGGATGAAGCCAAAGCCGCAAAAGTGCGTGACTATCTCGGCAGGACCGGTCGCTGATGGGGCGTTATTTACTCAAACGTCTGCTGCTGATCATTCCCACTCTGTTTGGCATCATCGCGATCAACTTTGTGATTGTACAATTTGCTCCGGGCGGACCGGTTGAGCAGGCCATCGCTGAAGCCTCCGGTATGACCATGGGTGGCGCCACCGCCAACATCTCCGCAGCTGGCGCTCAAGGCCCCAGCGGCAGCTCCAGCTATCAGGGGTCTTCCGGCCTTGACCCGGAATTTCTGGCCAAGCTGGAAAAACAGTTTGGCTTCGACAAGCCGGCCCACGAACGCTTTTTTCTCATGATCTGGAACTACATGCGCTTCGATTTTGGCGACAGTTACTTTCAGGATCGCCCCGTGGTTGACCTTGTTATTGAACGCATTCCAGTTTCCATATCTCTGGGGCTGTGGTCATTGCTGCTCATCTACAGCATATCCATACCTCTGGGTATCGCTAAAGCTGTGCGTGATGGCAGCCGTTTTGATGTGGCAACCAGCGCCGTGCTGTTTGCCGCCTATGCGATTCCCGGCTTTCTGTTTTCGATTCTGCTGATCATAATTTTTGCCGGCGGCAACTATTTGTCCTGGTTTCCGCTGCGCGGCTTAACCTCTGAAGGGTTTGAAGCGCTGTCTTTTATCGACCAGGTTGTCGACTACTTCTGGCATCTGGCATTGCCGCTTACAGCCCTCACATTAGGTGGGTTTGCGACCTTATCCATGCTCACCAAGAACTCCTTTTTGGAAGAGCTCTCTAAACAGTTTGTCTTAACCGCTCGCGCCAAAGGCTTAACTGAACAGCGCGTGTTATATGGTCACGTGTTTCGCAACGCCATGCTGATTGTTATCGCAGGTTTCCCCGCCGCCTTTGTGGGCATCCTGTTTACCGGCGCGCTGCTCATCGAAGTTATATTTTCGTTAGACGGGCTGGGGCTGCTGGGTTTCGAAGCGGCCATGACGCGGGATTTTCCTATTCTATTTGGTACCTTGTTTGCCTTTACTCTTGTTGGGCTCGTGATGCAGCTGATCGGCGACATGGTTTACGTGCTGGTTGACCCGCGCATCGACTTTGAGTCGCGCTGACTATGAGCCCTATCAATCAACGCCGCATAGCTAACTTTCGCGCCAATCGCAGGGCGCTATGGTCCCTGCGTATTTTCCTTGTCTTATTTGTCATCACCCTGTGTGCTGAGATGATCGCTAACGATCGGCCCATCATCATGGTGTTAAACGGCAAACTTTTTGTACCGATGCTGGTGGACTACGCGGAAACAGAACTTGGTGGTGAACTGCCGTCCACCGCGGATTTCCGTGATCCGTATGTTGCAGACCTGATCAGGGATGGCATTGTTCTGTGGCCACCCATCCGTTACTCCCACAACACCATTAACTGGAATGTTGAATTGCCTCTGCCCCACCCACCAGACGGCGAGCACTTGCTGGGAACCGACAGCACAGGCAACGATGTGCTGGCAAAACTCATTTACGGTTTCCGCTTATCTGTTCTGTTTGGGTTGTCTATGACCATATTGGCATCAGCCATCGGTATTACCGTAGGTGCCTTACAGGGCTACTTTGGTGGCCTCACCGACCTCATCGGTCAACGCATGGTGGAAATATGGACCGGTTTGCCGGTGCTGTTTGTGCTGATCATTTTAAACAGCATTGTTGAGCCTACCTTTTTCTGGATGCTGGTGACGCTCACCCTGTTCAGCTGGATGGCCTTGACCGGGGTCGTGCGCGCAGAATTTCTGCGTGCGCGCAATTTTGAATTTGTACGTGCCGCCCGCGCCATGGGCGTGGGCAACGTGACCATCATGTTTCGGCACGTCTTACCTAATGCGATGACTGCGGCTTTGACCTACACACCATTCCTTTTGAACTCCTCCATCGCCACCCTCACGGCGCTGGACTTTCTAAACCTCGGCTTGCCATTGGACTATCCTTCCCTGGGCCGGCTGCTGACTCAGGCACAAGCCAATCTGCAGGCGCCCTGGCTTGGGCTATCGGTTTTTGTCACCCTGGCAACCATGCTGACCCTGCTGATATTTGTCGGTGAAGGGGTTCGGGACGCATTTGATCCACGTCGCAGCATAGGCACAACGCGCAATGTCTGAGCGTATCCTTGAGGTCACTAACCTGACGGTTCAATTTGGTGACACCAAGGTTGTCGATGATGTGTCTTTTCATCTGCAGGCGGGCGAAATTGCTGCACTGGTTGGAGAATCGGGATCGGGCAAATCTGTCAGCGCATTGTCCGTTCTGCAGTTACTGCCTTATCCCCACGCCTCGCACCCCACCGGCTCCATTGAGCTGGACGGTGAACAGATGATTGGTGCCAGCAAAGCCCAGTTGCAAGCCATACGCGGCGGTGAAGTTGGCATGATCTTCCAGGAACCGATGACGTCGCTGAATCCGCTACATACGGTGGGTAAACAGATTGGTGAAACCCTGCGCGTACACAAAGGTTTAAACCGCGGACAAGCGCGCCAGAAAGCACTGGATCTGCTGGAGCGAGTTCAACTACCTGACCCTAATGGCAAACTCGACGCTTACCCACATCAACTGTCGGGTGGTCAGCGCCAACGTGTGATGATTGCCATGGCACTGGCCAATTCGCCTAAACTGCTGATAGCCGACGAACCCACCACCGCGCTGGATGTCACCATCCAAGCCAGCATTCTGGATCTGCTCAAAGAACTAAACCGCGACATGGGCATGGCCATTCTGATGATTTCTCATGATCTGGGTATTGTGCGCAGCATGGCCAATCGTGTGTACGTGATGAATCAAGGCAAAATCGTAGAAAACGGTCTTACCGAGCAGCTTTTCACCGACCCTCAACACAGCTATACCCATCACCTGCTCAACTCGCGACCCGGCGGTAGACCCGCAGCAGTACCTGAGCATGCAGCTGAAATTGTGTCTGCCCGTGATCTGACTGTGGGTTACAACATCGGCAAGGCCTGGTTCGGTAAAAGTGATCAGTTTATTGCGGTACATCCCATGGATTTTACCGTGGTTGCCGGTGAAACCCTGGCGGTTGTGGGCGAATCTGGCAGCGGCAAAACCAGCCTCGGCCTGGCCACCCTGAAACTGATACCCAGCAGTGGGCAGATCTGTTACCTCGGCAACAACATACAGACGTTAAAAACCCAGGAACTCAAAAGTCTGCGACGTAATATGCAGATGGTGTTTCAGGACCCCTACGGTAGCCTGTCACCACGCCTTACCGTGCGTGACATTGTTGCTGAAGGTTTATCAGTTCATGAGCGGCAACTAAGCCCTGCTGAGGTCGACGCCCGGGTTGTAGAAGCCTTGGAAGAAGTGGGCCTGGAACCCAGCTGGATGTCCCGCTATCCACACGAATTTTCCGGGGGGCAACGCCAGCGTATCTCCCTTGCACGCGCCCAGGTATTACGACCGGATTTTATTGTGCTGGATGAACCCACTTCTGCTCTGGACATGTCAGTGCAGTCGCAGATTGTTGAACTGCTGCGCGAACTGCAACAGAAACACCAGCTGGCCTATTTGTTTATCAGTCATGACCTGGCTGTGGTGCGTGCGCTTGCGCACCGTGTACTTGTTATGAAAGACGGTGTGGTGGTGGAGCAAGGTGACGCTGATCAGATTTTCAGCAACCCGCAAACACAATACACTCAGGCCCTGTTAGCCGCGGCTATGTTGTACGACTGAGAAGTCGTTCGACTGAGAAGTCGTTCGACTGAGAAGTCGTTCGACTGCAGCGCTGTTAGCTCTCGGACATCTTCGGCACAGGTGTCTCCTGCGCCATCCCACGCCGCATACCGAGATCGCCGAGAATGTTGTACAGACAAGGCACCAGAATCAGCGTAATCACGGTCGCAAACAAAATGCCAAACGCTAAAGACACCGCCATGGGGATGACCATTTGGGCCTGCATGGACGTTTCTGTGAGAATCGGCACCAGACCAAAAAAGGTTGTCAGAGACGTCAGCAGAATAGCCCTGAAGCGCGCAGCGCCGCCTTCAATAGAGGCGGCGGCCGCATCCAAGCCTTCGTCGACCTTCTTGTTAACGTAGTCGACCAGAATCAGACTGTCGTTCACCACCACCCCGGCCAGAGCAATAATGCCAATAAGCGACAGTGAGCTGACGGCAATACCCATAACCAGGTGCCCGACAATGGCACCCACGACACCAAACGGAATGACACTCATGATAATCAGCGGCTGCATATAAGATTTCAGCGGTACCGCCATAAGCGCATATATGCCAAAACAGGCCGCCAGGAACATCACAACAAATTCCTGTACGCTGGCCATCTCATCAGCAGAGCTACCTTCCAGCGCTGCGGTCACACCCGGGTAGGCAGATAACATCTTTGGCAGATAGTCCGCGTTTATCTGCGTAAGCAGGCGTGCGGGTTCTATAACAGAAAGATCCGCATTTGCGGTGACACTGATGGTTCGTTGCCCATCGAGTCTGCGAATCATGGCAAATCCCGGCTGCATATCAAACTCGGCAACGGCAGAAAACGGCAGCTCTCGACCATCGGGCAGGCGGATCCACATGTTTTCCAGATTACCCACAGAGCGTCGTTCGTTCTGGGGGAACCGCACCATCACGCGAACATCCTGGTTGCCACGCTGAATACGCTGAGCCTCAGCACCATAAAACGACTCGCGTACCTGACGCGCCAGGTCTGCAAGCGTGACACCTAATGCTTCCGCTTCAGGCTTAATGCGCAAACTGATTTCTTCCGGACCGGCCTGAGCAGACATTTCAATTTCGTAAAGTCCTTCCACCGTGCGCAGGTAACTGACCAGATCTGCGGCGGCAGCTTCCGTCAGATTGAAGTCTCTGCCCTGCAGCTTTATCGCGATCGGCGGACCGCCACCCATATGTGTAGCCCCCGCAAAACGCAGCTCTTTCGTGCCGGCTATATCACCAACTTTCTCTCGCCAGCGCTGTTCAATTTCTTTAGGTGAAACCGCCCGATGTTCTTTATCGAGCTCAACCTGGAAACGTCCGGATTTGCCGCCCATCACATATGCGAAGACATTGCGGATGACATCGTCTTCAACGCCCAGTTCGTCTTTGATTTCAGTGTTAACTTCACGCAGCGCGCCATTCATCTGCTCAATCACGCTCACCACCAGGGATTCGGGCGCGCCCTCCTGCAGTTCAACGCTGGCTGAGACATAATCGTTTTCCAGTTCCGGAAAAAACACGAAACGAACAAATCCGCCGGCAACCAGGCCTACGGCGAGAATCATCATGCCGGTGAATAAAGCGACTGTGGCATACCGATTTTCAATCGCACGGGTAAGCATCGGCTGATAGACATGCGCGATGAATCTTTTTAAACGTTGATCAAACCAGTCCGATACACCTTTCTTGCTACCGTGGGAGGATTTCATCAGAGACAGATGCGATGGCAGGATGAGCTTACTTTCCACCAGCGAAAACAGCAGACACCAGATCACCACCCAGGCGATGGCCGCATTGATCGGTGCAACCGGGCCGGTAACAAACAACATTGGCAGGAAAGCCATGATGGAGGTCAGCACACCAAAAGTGGCGGGCATGGCCACACGCTGAGCACCTGCAACGATGTTAGGCAGGCTGTAACCTTTCTCTTCTGTTTCGGTATATGCCGCTTCGGCGATGATAATCGCGTCGTCAACCACGATACCCAGCACAACAATAAACGCAAACAGGCTCATGATATTGATAGTGACGCCCACTACAGGCAGCATCATGAACGCACCCAGAAACGCAACGGGTAACCCAAATATGACCCAGGCGGCAAGCTTGAGCTGCAGAAACAGACCAAGAATCACAAACACCAACAGTGCACCCATGGCGAGGTTACCGACCAGCATGTCGACACGACCCTGCAGGTAAAAGGTGGCATCACCCCAGACCGTCAGTTGAACCTCTTCGGGCAACGTCGCATTACGCTGATCAACGTACTCACGCACCGCCTGGCTGATGACAAGTTCGTTTTCATTTTCGGTAGACAGCACGTTGATACCCAGGCTCGGCTTACCGTTGAAAAACGCATAGCTCTGGGTTTCAGCAAAACCATCACGGATAGTTGCGATGTCACCTAAGCGCACACGGGTCCCGTCTGGGTTGGTGAGCAATACAATCTGCTCAAATTCATAGCCGGTGTACGCCTGGCCGCTGGCACGCAGGCGGATATCACCTGACTCTGTACGAATCGAACCACCGGGCAGATCAATTGACCACTGACGAATAATTTCTGCCACCTGCGCAAGGGTCAGGCCATATTCACGCAGATCCAATTCTGCAATTTCTACAGATATCTCAAAAGGTCGACCACCCCAGATTTCCGCAGATGAGACATCGGCCAGCGCGGTGATTTCATCACGAATCTGTTCCGCCAGTGACTTCATGGTGGCTTCTGCGAGATCACCAGATACCTGCACGGTAAGCGCACCACGTTTGAAATTCTGTTTCGCGATGATCGGGCGTTCCGCATCCCGTGGGAAAGTATTGATGCCATCAACTGCAAGTTTCACTTCGTCGGTGACTTCGCCAACGTCGAAGCCCTGCTTGACTTCAATCATGACCTGACCTGAGCCTTCATAAGCCATGCCAACAACTTCTTTGATGCCGTTGATATTGGTAACGGCCTCTTCAATCTTGACGACAATGCCTTCTTCAACCTCTTCAGGACCCGCGCCTGGGTAAGGCACAGTGACCCGCACCTGATCAAACTGCAGGTTCGGAAAACTTTCTTTTTTGACCGTAAAAAGCGCGTAGATACCTGCGCAGACAATGAAAATCATGAGCAGATTGGCAGCCACGTGATTGGTCGCAAACCAACCGATCAAGCCTTTGACTTCAGTATGGCGTTGCATGGGGTCAGCTACCTAGTCGCACTTTCATGCCAGGCAGAGGCTGGTCGATTGGCGTCACGCAATATTGCTCTCCCGCTTCTACACCACTGGCGATATAAACAAAGTCTTTGTCGCGCCGCACCACTTCAACTTCGCGGGGATAGATACGCTGCTCTTCATCTAAGAGCCACAATGTATTGCCGCGCTGCAGTGAATGACGCGGTACCAGCACCAGCTCACCCGCATGACGACCAACAATTCTTGCAGAAACAAAAGTGCCCACCAACAAAGGCACCTGACCTTTGCCATCCAGGTCGTAGGGGTCTTCTATCTGCGCGACCAGGTACAACACGCGGTTGGAGGTATCAAACACTCCCTCGCTGCGACGGATCTCGCCACTCCAGTGAAAATTTGTGTTCCCCAGTTCCGCAGTTAATTCAACCTCTATGGGGGAATTCAAACGCAGCTTGCTGATATCAAGAAACTGCAGGTCGTGCTGAGTAACCGGCAGGCGCACCTCGGCCTGGTCAACAGCAAAGGTCACCCCCAGCTGAGAGCCCGAGTTAACATATTGGCCAACGTCCGCGAGTTTTTGCCTGACAAGCCCATCATAAGGTGCCCGTATGACTGTACGATCCAGATCACCTTGGGCTTTTTCCAGGGCTGCTTGCGCCGACTGCAATTCCGCGAGCGCCTGGCGCAGTTGCGGCTTGCGCAGCGCCAGTTCCGTAGCCGGGCCCTGGGTAGGGTTAAGCTGGCGCAGGCGTTCGAAATCTTCAGCCGCATAACCAGACAAAGCAGTTTCCGTTTCAAGCTGGGTCTCGGCCTTGGCCACTTCTGCACCGGCACGCTTTACCGCTGAAGCATAATTGCGCGGATCGATTCGTATGAGCACATCACCCTTGCTGAAAAACCCACCACTGACAAAGGTAGGTGAGACTTCCACAATCTGACCAGAGGCTTCTGCCACCAGAGTGGTCTGCGTGCGCGGACTGACAGTACCTTGCGAGCGTACCTCGAAGGTAATTGGTTGGGGCTCTATGGTCGCTACTTCAACCAACAAAGTGGGCGCTTCCGGCGCATTAAATCTGGCCTCGGGGCGAGCTGCAAACATGGCTATAGCACCAACAACAGACAAACCCAGGATCAGGAAAGGTAAGGCTATTTTTGTCGCGCGGTTCATAGCTCCAGTGTAGCCTTTCTGAGCCTTAGATGTGTGTGAGCCCTGTCGGGTTCATACTTTCAGAAGATGGCTGAATAACTTCTGCACCGTATCAACCGCAGCGATTGTCTGTTGCGCAAAATCGTAGTTCTTCTGGTTTGCGTGTAAACGTTGCACCCGGGAGTTTGCACCCCACAAAGTAATGGCTGCCAGGCGGGCTATTTCCAGGTTATCTGCTGTGCCACCAAAGTCTTTGGTAAAAGATTCGGCCAGCAGATCTTCATATTCCTGACTGATGCGGATCAACTGAGAGGATACCAGCGCCGAACTCCAGCGCTGAATCAGAAAGTCTCGATACTGGCGCCCACCATCCTCCTGGGTGATTCGAGTAACCGCGTTCTGCACCCAGGCGCGCCAGAAATCAAAGGTATGATCGGTTCGGGATGGGTCGGTAATGGCACGCCGGAAACGTTCCAGCTGCTCCTGATCTCCTGCGGTTGCCAACTCCTGTTTGCTGGCAAAATGCCTGTAGAGGGTCTGCACATGAAGACCCGCATGGTCAGCCACCGCCTCTAACGTGGTTTCATCATAACCCTGCTGCGCAAACAGAGACTGAGCTGACCGGATGAGGCTGGTGCGTGTTGCAGCTTTACGCTTTTCACGCAACGGAAATTGGGTATTGCTCATAACCGGGCTCTGTTCAATAGGTTCAGGCGGAGTCTTCAGGACCGCCCAGGCGTATCTGCCAGAGCGTTCAGCACAAGTTGTCAATATGCCGTATTGAATGCGATAGTCAACTGGACAAGGGAGGAGAGATGGACAAACATGTTACGCACACTTTGTTTTGCACTATTGATCTGTCTGCAGGGACAATACCTGATGGCTGCTGAGCCTGAGACCGTCACCACCTTACAGGGTGAAGTACGCGGCGCATGGGCGGACGAAGCGCAAAACATACAGGTATTTAAAGGTTTACCGTACGCAAGACCACCAGTAGCTGACCTGCGCTGGGTAGCTCCCCAGGCACCCGAGAAATGGACAGGCGTACGCGCGGCTGTTGAACCAGGCCCCGCCTGCTGGCAGGAAAGCCAGCTGGAGCAGTTTGTCTGGAGTCGTGGCAAATTTGAACGCAGCGAAGACTGCCTTTACCTCAACATCTGGTCCAGAGTCGAGCCGACCAAACAACCGGTTATGGTCTGGTTTCATGGTGGGTCACATACCTCGGGTATGGGACATGACGCAATTTTTGATGGCACAGCGCTCGCCAGTCATGGCGTCGTGCTGGTGACAATCAACTATCGCCTGGGTCCATTTGGTTTTCTCGCCCATCCGTTGTTGGCGGCAGAGTCCAGCCACAGCAGCGCCGGCAACTATGGTTTGCTGGACAAAATCGCAGCTTTGAACTGGGTACGCGATAACATTGCCCAGTTTGGCGGCGACCCGGACAACGTGACCATATTTGGTCAATCTGCGGGCTCACAAAGCGTCTGCGCGTTAATGGCATCACCGTTAAGCCAGGGGCTGTTTCACAAAGCCATTGGTCAATCAGCATCCTGTACCCAGCCAGCTGGCAGCACAAATGACAGTGACGCGAACGGGTTCAAGCGCGGCAAACGACTGGTCCAGGCACTGTTAGAAAATACCAAAGTTGATGCTGAAACCCTGCGCGGCGCATCACCACAGGCCATCATGCGCGCGGCAAATAAGAGCCGCTGGGCCGCACAATCCCGCATTGTAGTCGACGGCTGGGTGGTACCGGAGCCCATCGACAATATTTATCTGGCGGGTCAACAGGCCAGGATACCGCTACTGGTAGGGTCGCTGGCAAACGAAGGACATCTGCTTTTTCCGCTGAACGATGACCTCGACAACGCCGGGCTGCAAGCTGCAAGCAGAAAACTAGCTGGGGCTCACGCTGAAGCGTTGCTACAGCTTTACGCCAGCGAAGCGGCTCAATCACCTGCGCTCGCCCAGCGGGAGATCACAACCGATCTGTTCATGACCTACGGCATGCGTCGCTGGGCAGACCACCAGAGCGCAACAGGCGCGCCCACTTACCTGTATCACTTTGATCACACGCCACCCGCGTTCAGGCTGTACGTGCCTGACAACCCCGATCTCAAACTGCCAGCGGGACCACGTTCTGCAGGCGCTTATCACTCAGCAGACCTGGCCTACGTATTTGGCAACATCGATAAAGTAGGACTGGATTGGCAGGAGGAAGATCGACAGCTGAGCCGCACCATGGTCCGATTCTGGACCAACTTTGCCAAGAGCGGCAATCCGAATGTGCCCACTCATGAGAGCCTGCCCGTCTGGCAGCCCTATGACAAAGCAAACCACACCACCCTGATATTGCGCAGCGAGCCGCACACCACAAAGGGTGTGCGGACTGCCAAGCTGGATATCTGGGACCGGGTTTTTAACTCTGACTAGCGACGGCTTTGGGTTTTACGCCTGGGCCAATATGCTTTTCGAAGAAGTCGATAGTGGCGCGCCGCCAGCGTAAATTGTTTTCTTCTTTGCGCGGCGTGTGGCCTTCGTTAGGTAACTCTATCAGCTCGGGCACCGGCTTACCGGCAGCTTTCATCGCCCGCTGCATCACGTAGGCCTGTTCCACCGGCACTCTCACGTCGTCTTCACCGTGCACCAGCAAGAGAGGCGTTTTAATTTTATGCGCAAACGTTGCAGGTGATGCTGCTGCGCGCTCTTCTTTGCTGGGACCAACCACCTTGTCGAGATATTTTTTACCCCAGCGTGTGCCTTCAGCAAAATCGGAACTGTCATACTGCACTTCATTGTCATAAACCCCAGCGCCAGCAACGCTACATTTGTACAGGTCAGGTTCGCGCGAGATGCTCATCGCTGCAGCGTAACCACCGTAGCTCCAACCAAAAATACAAATCCTTTCAGGATCCGCATAGCCTTGCTCGATCGCCCAACGAACAGAATCCGTTAGATCGTCCTGCATTTTGCCTGACCATTCACCGTAACCCGCGTTTTCGAAGGCTTTACCGTAGCCGCCCGAGCCGCGGAAATTGATCTGCAACATGGCGTACCCTGCCGCGGGTATGAACCCTTCAAACCATTGAAAACCCCATTGATCACGGGGTCCGTGAGGGCCGCCGTGCGGCACAATGACAAGTGGCAGATTTTTGGCTTCGACACCATTGGGGATCGTCAGATAACCATGCAGTGTCATTCCATCTCGCGAGGTAACCTGAATTGGCCTCATCGGTGAGAGCCGGCTGTCGTCAATCCAGGGCATGGCATCAAACAACTGCTGCAGTTGTCCTGTGCCCCGGTTGTAGAGGTAATACTCAGGCGTACGGGTATCCTGAGTCACTGCGACAACAGATAAATTGAAGTCGTGTGTGGTACTGGTCACGTATGTGGCAGCACCGGGAAAGACATCCTGCAGAGCCATAATGAGCTGAGCATTCGGATGTTCCGGATCGACAATGTACTGCTCGATTTTTGCCGGCATGGACTGCACGGCATAAACACGATCAGCAAAATCTCTCAAGACATTGTCTGCATCAACATATTCGTGCTGATACACCTGTTCAAACTCTTTAGTTTCGAGATTCATCAGATAGATACCTTCGGGACCTTCGCTTTCAGACTTGAAAACAAATATCCGCCCATCGTCCGCGACCTCAAGCGGTCTGATCTGCGATTCACCAAAAGCTGCTTTCGAAAAAATTTCCCACTGACCGGTTTTGGGATCGCGCTGGTGGATCACCGTATTCTGATCATCGTCTATGTAAAAGCTGAAGCGCGGATTACCCTGGGCATCTGGCAGAACCTGAGCGTTAGCGGTGGGTGTGATCTGACGATCACTCAAGCGTCCGGTGTACACATCCAGCATTGCTGTCGAGGTGGTGTTTTTGAACCCACGGCTCCAATCCGCTAAAGAAATAAGTACCCGGTTCGGGTTGTCCCACATCGGGTGCGTGAAGCTTGCTGACGCAAAAGCCGCGGTTACGTTACTGGTCCGTGACCGGTTCGATCCCGGTTGATTTCCGCGGAGTCCGTAGAGGTACTTACCCTTTTTGCCATCTGCATTTACGGCATAGAGCTCGCCATAGGAAACATCATCTTCGCGACTACCCCAATCGACGTTGACCTGGAAGATTAGACGTTCATCGTTAACCCACCAGTAATTACCAACTTCACTGCGGCCTGGAAAATCCACGACATTGAGCAGCTTCATCGCCGGAAACGAAAAGATGGCAACCACGCGCTTCTCATCCTCTTCTTTCATGACAGCAAGATATTCACCCTGGGGTGAAATTTTCGCGCTGAAGACTTCTCGGTTCTTCGACCAATCGTCCACCAGATCAGCATGCGCGTTTATCCCCAACAAATTGATAAACACAAACGCAAGGACTACATACTTATTCATTTTTTACCTTTTATTCATTCAATCCTGCATGGGTGGTGTGCTCGATCTGCTGTCGAGCTATGACCACCCGGTAGAAGCATATCAAGGATTAGAGCACGCTACGAAGCCCAGCTTGTCTGACCAGATCGGCGCAAAACTGCAGCATGCAGCGGCAGTCTATTAGCGCTAGGATGATGGGCAGATACACGGGAGGCACAATGAGCGAACAACTTGTACCGGGCAGCCAGTTTCCTGAGCTGACCCTCAACATTGCAGGCGGCGACACGCTGAATCTGCCTGCAGACATAGATACCCCTTATGCGGTGGTGCTGTTCTATCGCGGCCACTGGTGACCCTTCTGTCGCCGACTGTTAGCCGGCTTCGAAGCAGAACTGGATGATTACAAAGCCCTTGGCGTGACCATTGTGGCGGGTACCGTAGATACTGAAGAACAAACCCTGGAAGTGGCGTCAGACCTGAGCTTTCCGGTGGCATATGGCATGACACAACAGGATGCCGAGGCGATCGGCGCCTGGTGGGAACCCCGGCGCGACCATATTCAGCCGTCTGAGTTTATTCTGCGCGGCGATGGCAAAGTTATGGCTTCCACGTACAGCAACTCTCCCGTGGGCCGTATGGATCCTGCAGAAACACTGGTGCTGCTCAAGTTTCTGGATTCAATGGCCAAGAAGAAAAAAGCTTAGCTGCAGAGGCCTTAGAAAATCTCTTCGGGCGATAACTCGAAGCGTTGAATAAGTTCCTGGCGCACGTTTTCGTAGGTCGCCGGGAACTCGTTTTTCAGGATCTCCAGATCATTTTTCACATCAGCCCCCAAACCCTGGTGGATGACCACCTCAACCCGTCGATTTCGCGCTTTACCCGCAGCATTGGTATTGCTTACCAGGGGTTTGGTATCTGCAAAGCCGGTTATGGTGAACCGCTCCTGATCGAGCTCAGGATCCTCGAACAGGCCATGCGCAACACTCACTGCGCGGGCACTGGACAGCGCCCAATTGGAGCGAAAGCGAGGTGTGTTAATAGGATCATCATCCGTGTGGCCTTCGACAATAATCCGCCCATCCATGTCGCGAAGCTGCTGCCGAATGATTTTCAACACCGGTTTGAAGTTAGCGGAAAGATCCGCTGTGCCGGAGGGGAAACTGCCGTGTTCTTTGATACGCAGAATGATGCGACGGCCGGACGTTTCAATCTCCAGCACACCAGCTGCAATCTCTTTTGATAAAGCTGTCGCCAGATCAATGGCTTCCTGTTCCGTTTCTCCCACCAGGTCCTGAATTTTATCGACCACCACCATCTGCTCCGCATCACCGGACTCACCGGTATTGCTGGACCCCATGTCCTGACAGGCCACATCGAGAGAATTACGCGATTCGTCTGTGGTTTTCTGCCAGATTTCATTCAACGGCGTGGGGCGCGGCGTACCCGGGGAGAACTCCTGGGCAATAATACTGGTGCCTTTGGGCGGGTCGTTGGCTCTCACCTGGGCCTGTACGCCAAAGGCCTGGCTCATGGAACCGGCCAGACGTTTGAATTTGAGCACATCCATTTCGGAAAAAGACAGCAGCAGTACAAAGAAACACATCAGCAGCGACATCAGGTCGGCAAAGGTCATTACCCAGCCGGCACCACCGCCTTCTTCTTTTTTTTCTTCGACTTCTTCCATGGTCAGGTGGTAGGTCGGATGACGTTATTCTTCGTCCGCACGTTTACCTTCCGGCAAATAGGCTTTCAACATGGAATCGATGATGCGCGGGTTCTGACCCGCCTGAATAGCCAGCAGTGCATCAATCACCATGGCCTTGGTCATGCCTTCCTCAGCGCGCCGAAGCTCCAGCTTATCGGCTACCGGTAAAGCAATCATATTGGCGAACATGGCGCCATACAGCGTCGTCAGCAGCGCAATGGCCATGGCCGGACCAATAGACTTTGGATCATCCATGTTGGCAAGCATAGCCACCAGACCGATGAGCGTACCAATCATACCCATGGCCGGGGCGACATCACCCATGGCGGAAAAGATTTTGGCGCCACGTTCGTGTCGCTCGATGGTCTGCTTCAGATCTTTCCACAGCAGAGTACGAACCACTTCCGCATCATGACCATCCACCAGCAGTTGAATACCTTTATTCAGAAAACGATTGGATACTTCTTTGCCTTCCAGCGACAGCAGCCCGCCTTTGCGTGCTTCGTCAGCCAGCGCCACCACCTCTTCGATGAGGTCTTCAGGCGGGGTAAGTTTGAAGCTGAATGCCTTTATGGCCACTTTAATAGCACCCAGAAACTGCGCCAGATTGAACTTCATCAACACCACAAACAGTGATCCCACCAGTACAATCAGCAACGACGGTGCGTTGACAAACATACCGATGTCGCCACCAGAGAGCATTGCGTACAACACGATGCCAAAAGCACCGAGTAAGCCGATGAGGGTCGCCAGATCCATCTAACGAAGTCCTTGGTTTATTCCTTATCTAGAAGTCTAGAACACATCCTGCGATTGTCGTTGGAAATGTCGTCAGCACATCTGTGTCCATGCGTGGGCCAAAAAGCGCTGCGCAAAAGGCTTTTCTCCACCAGCGCACCTTGCTACCTTGAGCGCCATGAAAAACACCAAAAAAACTGACGCCAAAACACCCGAGGGTGACAACAATTTGACACAAGACATACAGTTTGAAGCCGCACTGGCAGAGCTGGAGACGCTGGTTGAACAGATGGAAGGCGGCAGCTTAAGTTTAGACGAGTCGCTACAGGCCTTTGAACGAGGCATCGCGCTCACCCGCCACTGCTCAAACGCCCTCGCCCAGGCCGAATTAAAAGTGCAGACGCTCACCGCAGACAATACTCTGGAGGATTTTGATCTCGGCGATGTTGATGACAACTGACCTTGAGATTCTGCGCGAGCAGATCAACCGGTCGCTGGACAAACACCTGCCGCGCCAATCTGACATCGCCCAGGCAATCACCGACGCGATGCGGCATGCGGTGTTGGGCGGCGGCAAACGCATTCGGCCCATGCTGGTCTGCGCAACCAGCGAAGCTTTTGGTAAAGATGCCATGGCAGCTCTGCCCGTTGCCTGTGCTATTGAATTCATCCATGCATATTCTCTGATTCACGACGACCTGCCTGCGATGGACGATGATGAAGTTCGCCACGGCTTACCGAGCACTCATATTGCTTACGGCGAGGCCAATGCCATTCTGGCCGGCGACAGCCTGCATTCTCTGGCATTCAAGACCATTGCCACAGCGCCTGGTCACTCTGCAGAAACCCGACTGACGATGATCGAAACGCTGGCGGAAGCCGCTGGCTGGGCGGGTATGGCCGGTGGACAGTGCCTGGATATTGAGGCCGAGGGGCGACATCTGAGTCTGGGGGAATTACAGGTGTTACATGGCGCAAAAACCGGCGCGCTGATTCGCGCGGCGGTGCAGCTGGGCTGTCATTGCGCCGGCGACGCCGTCGCCAGCAAAGAACAGTTTCTGCTGCTCGCCGAATTCGGCAACCGCATTGGCCTGGCCTTTCAGGTCATGGACGATGTGCTCGACGTCACCCAGAGTACCGAGCAGCTGGGAAAACCCGCAGGCTCAGATGAGGCATTAGACAAGAACACCTTCCCAAGGTTGATGGGTACTGAACAGGCCCGTGAGCTGGCCCATACGTTAATCCAGGAAGCGATGGCACTGCTGCAGAGAACCCGTTTGAAGATTGACAGTCTGGAACAGATTGCACAGCAGGTGATCAACCGCGATCACTGACCCAATCCGGAGCCCTGGCCACTAGAACCTGGCCGTCAGGGTTAACACTCCATTGTTATCGTTCAGATTGAGGGAGTTCAGAAACGACATCCCCAACAACACATCCGTCGGGTACATACCCTCAATCACCGTGGCCCTCACTTTGTTTCGCGTGATGCCACCCAGCGTGACTCGATCTAACAGCAGAAAATAGGCATTGGCGTTACCTTGTGCGGTCTGCACTGTGCCGCGCTGACCGGACTGATAGTTAAGCCCCATCTGTTGTGCCTGCCGCTCACTTAACGCCACCACTGAAGCACCCGTATCGATAAGAAAATCAACCATATGATCATTGAGCGCACCCCGCATTCGGTACTGCCCAACAGAATCCCGGCTGATGCGCACAGATTCCGAGGTCGGCTTGGCAAAACTCCCCGCGACCCGAGCGGTGAGACTGAGCTGATATTCCTGCCCCCGATAGCTTACGCGAGCGCCAGCTGTGTCTGCCTGCAGCAATTTCACACCAGCAGGCGACGTCTCACCCACTTTTAACATCTGCTGTTCACCCGCCATTCGTACCACCGCACGATCTTTAAACAGCGCCACCACTTCTACCGGTGCAGCGGCTGATACCTGTACGGCACTGAAAAGTAATCCCAGACTGACGAGAAGGACTGTACGTAGGTTTAATTTTTGGCGAGGAATTATCATCTTCGAAGTATCACCAATAGCTGCTGCGCAATCTTCTGGCGACAGTGTAGCGGGCTAGAGCAGCGCTGGGGTCAGACCTGACGCGCGCAAGCTCAAAACTGCGACGTACAACACAATTGCCACCACCGCACCTGCCAGCAGATCATCCAGCATAACGCCCAAGCCGCCTTTTACCTCACGGTCAAGCCAGCCAATAGGACCGGGTTTGAGGATATCGAGCAGGCGAAACAGCCCGAAGGCAAGCAACACGAGCCACCATGTTGGCGGTAAAAACGCCAGCGCAAGCCACATACCAGCCACCTCGTCAGCCACAATTTCAGAAGCGTCATCAATGCCGAAGGTCCGCGTCACAAGCGTGCTGCAAACCCAGCCGCTGATAAAATAGGCCGCGCAGATCGACAACTGGATCAGCGGATCAAATTCAGCCAGGAATAACCACCAGACGACAACGGCGCCGGCTGACCCCCAGGTGCCGGGCGCGGGCCGCAAAAACCCCAGCCCCAGACCGCTGGCCCACAACACCTCCGGTCGGATTAAACTCCGCACGCTAAGCGACAAAGTGGTTATACCCGTGTGGCTGCTGTTCAACGCCGTCCAGACTCACACCGGTACCCGAGTTGATCTGGCCTATGTTCATCATGCCGGGCAAAGGCACACCTGCAGTGGCGAGTAGTTGATAATCATCTCCTCCATTCAGGACATCTTCCAGCGACACACCTTCAGTAAGTTTCAGATCCGCTGAATTGATGTTCACACCGACGCCGGATGCCTCAGCCAGATGCCGCGCATCCGCCAGCAGACCGTCAGAAATATCAATGGCAGCGTGGGCGTTCGATCGCAATACCGCCAACAGATCAAAGCGCGCCGCGGGCATGAAGTAGGCACGCTGCAGGGCATTCAATTTGTCCTGCACCTGGTAATTCCGGTTACGCACACAAGCCGCCGCAAGGCCCAACGGGCCGCTCACATAAAGCTGATCACCGACCCGTGCGCCTGCTCTGGTGACGGCTTTGCCTGTTGGTACCTCACCATGCACACTAACTGTTATGCTGAGTGGACCACGGGCGAAATTACCACCACAGATGTAGGTGTCACACACCCGAGCTGCCGCCGCCATGCCTTTTGCCAGATCACCTACCCAGGAGACGTCTGCCGCAGGCAGCGTCAGCGCCACCAGCACATAACGTGGCTGCGCAGCCATTGCGGCCAGATCTGACAAGCTGACCATGAGGGCACGATAACCGATATAAAACGCAGGCGCACTGGCGGGGAAATGTACATCGGCGACCAGGGTATCGATGGAAGCCACCGCATCGTGGGCAGGTGATTGCTGCATTACCGCAGCATCATCACCAGGACCCAGGGTGACCCAGGGGCCTTGTGCACGATCCGCGAGATGGCGAACCACCTCGCGTATCAATGCAAATTCATCCACGCTTTGCAGCCTGAACTTCAATGCTGCGCAAACTACCGGCAAGTTTATCCAGCACACCATTGATGTATTTGTGTGAGTCTGTGGCGCCAAAGGTTTTCGCCAGCTCCACGTACTCATCAATAACCACCAGGTAAGGCACATCTATACGATGTTTAAACTCAGCCGCGGCAAGACGCAGAATCGCCCGTTCCACATGATCAAGTTTGTCTACCGCGCGATCCAGGAGCTCTGCGTAAGTCGCATCCAGTTCTGACGGGTGGTAGACCACATGTGTTAACAGCTCATTGAAAAATTCAACATCGGCCTTCTTCAGTGCATCTGAATCGTAAAATTCGGCCTTGATGTCAGATAGATTTCCGGCAGACAGCTGCCACTGATAAGTCGCCTGCACCAGTGCCCGCCGAGCTTTACGCCGCGCCCAGATGTTGGTTTTGTTATTCGCCACGATCAGCCTTCAGACGCACACAAACGTCATCACCTATCTGTCTTATATCCATCACTTTTCCTGTTGGCGCCTGGTCGAGTTGCGCAACTGTAAAATTCGCCAGCGGCTGACTCGCGACCCCTAACCATTTGGGTGCTACGTAACATATCCATTCATCCCACAACTGCGCCGCAACAAAGCTACCGCAGACTTTGGCACCGGCTTCCACCAACACTTCGTTACAGCCCAGGCTGGCAAGGTGCTGCAGCACAGCGCTCAGATCCTGCGGACCTGCAGGTAACGCCAATAAGCTTACCGAATGCGCATTATGCAGGTGTTCGGGCACATCTACACCGGCGTTATGCACCAGCAGGGTGGCGCCACCATCCGTGATCACGGTTGCCTGGGGCGGCGTTGACAGGCGAGAGTCCAGCACAACCCGCAAGGGTGCTCGGGCATGCTGATATTGTGGTGCGCGAACATTCAGCTGCGGATTATCTTCAATCACAGTTTGCACGCCGGTAATAATGGCATCACTGCGCGCCCGCCAATACTGCACATCCTGGCGGGCTGCTTCGCCGGTAATCCACTGGCTTTCGCCGCTGGCCAGGGCGGTAGCACCATCCAGGCTGCTGGCGGTTTTCAACCTGACCAACGGTTTGCCTGACAGTTCTCTGGACACATAACCCTGAATCAGATCAAGGGCTGCTGCCTGGGTCAGTAGATTGACTTCGATACCAGCCGCTCGCAGCATTCTGATGCCCGCACCTGCAACCTGCGGATGCGGGTCGGTGGCGGCAATCACGACCCGTGCCACCTGCGCATCAATCAGTGTTTGCGCGCACGCCGGGGTGCGACCCACAAAGGCGCAGGGCTCCAGGCTCACGTAAACCGTAGCGCCAAGAATATCGCCACCGGCATCCGCTATGGCATTCACCTCAGCATGGCCCTCACCGGTGCGGACATGATAACCGCGGCCGAGAATCTGTTGATTGCGAACGATGATGCACCCTACAGGCGGATTGGGTGCGCAGGTCAGGCGGCCTTGCTCAGCCAGCTCAATGGTAGCGGCAAGGAACACGCCATCGGAGGGTGTCACGTCTCTTTCACCAGCTTGCGAATTTCTTCTGTGAACTCGCTGACATCCTGAAAATCCCGGTAGACCGAAGCAAATCGAACATAGGCCACGGGATCCAGAGCACGCAATTCCCGCATCACTTCTTCACCCACCTGCAGAGAAGGAATCTCCCGTTCGCCGGTAGAGCGCAGGCGGGTCTTTATATGTGTGAGGGCGGTTTCAATCTGATCAACGCTGACCGGACGTTTTTCTAACGCCTTAGTTAAGCTGGTCTTAAGCTTGGCATCATCAAAAGGCACCCGGCTGCCGTCACGTTTGATCAACCTCGGCATCACCAGTTCGGCGGTTTCAAACGTTGTGTAACGCTCGCCACAAGCCTGACATTCGCGACGACGACGCACCGCATCACCATCAGCCACCAGGCGGGAGTCAATCACCTTGGTATCGTCAGCTCTGCAGAAGGGGCAATGCACAGTGGCTACCGTTCCTTATACTTTCGGGTACACCGGGAAGCGCCGGCATAATTCAACCACCTGCTGCTTCACACTGCCCACCATATTGTCGTTGTCAATATCTTCCAGAATGTCACACATCCAACCTGTGAGGGTTGCACACTCCGCTTCTTTAAAGCCGCGGCGGGTAACCGCCGGCGATCCGATACGCAGGCCGCTGGTAACAAAGGGTGAGCGTGGATCGTTAGGTACGGCGTTTTTATTCACAGTGATATTGGCACGACCCAGCGCGGCGTCAGCGTCTTTGCCGGTGATGTCTTTGTCTACCAGGTCGAGGAGGAACAGATGATTATCGGTTCCACCGGAGACAACACGATATCCCCGCTCAATGAACTGGCTGGCCATGGTGCTGGCGTTGGCCAGCGTCTGCCGCTGATAAGCGACAAAATCATCACCCATGGCTTCTTTGAAACACACCGCTTTACCCGCAATAACATGCATCAGTGGGCCGCCCTGGCTGCCAGGGAACAGTGCAGAGTTAAGTTTCTTCTCAATCTCAGGATTAGACTTCGCCAGAATAATGCCACCTCTGGGGCCACCTAAGGTTTTGTGAGTAGTTGAGGTGGTGACGTCTGCTATCTGTACCGGATTAGGATACAGACCAGCGGCAACCAAACCGGCAACATGGGCCATGTCGACAACCAGATAGGCACCCACTTCATCTGCAATGTCGCGAAACTTCTGCCAGTCGACAATTCTTGAGTAGGCTGAGAAACCGGCCATCAGCATTTTCGGCTTGTGTTCTTTTGCCAGGCGCGCAATGGCGTCATAGTCCATTTCACCCGAGCTGGCATCAATTCCATACTGCACCGCATTGTAGAGCCGTCCGGAAAAATTCACTGAAGCGCCGTGCGTCAGATGGCCGCCGTCAGCCAGGCTCATACCCAGCACCGTATCACCCGCTTCCATCAACGCAAGATACACCGCCGAGTTAGCCGAGGAACCGGAATGTGGCTGCACGTTGGCATAATCCGCGCCAAACAATGCTTTTGCACGATCGATGGCCAGCACTTCCACCTGATCAACATACTCACAGCCACCGTAGTAGCGTTTGTGCGGATAACCTTCCGCGTATTTGTTGGTGAGCACGCTGCCCTGGGCCTCCAGCACCCTGGGACTGGCGTAGTTTTCCGAGGCTATTAATTCAATGTGCTCTTCCTGGCGCACATTTTCCGCAGCGATTGCTGCGGCCAATTCATCATCAAATCCTGCAATGGTTTCATTACCTGCAAACATGGTCTGCCCTGTGTTTTTTACCTGGATGGGAGTCAGCCGTGTAGGTCGGCTGTATGAAAGACGCTATTGTAACCGAAAGCTTTTTAGCATGATTAAAAAAAGCCTCATGTTCAACGTGAATTACATTGCCTCCATATTTAGGCTGGGGCTATGGGCACCACACCCGTATACTGCGCGCTTCTTAAAAATGGACGCAGGCTGCTTAGCCGCGTGCGGCCGACAACGCTTAAACGCTTAAAGGAACGACATGGCGCAATACGTTTACACCATGCAGAACGTCACCAAAGTAGTGCCGCCGAAACGCATTATTCTGGAAAACATTTCACTGTCTTTTTTCCCTGGCGCCAAGATCGGCGTACTGGGTTTAAACGGCTCAGGTAAATCCAGCCTGTTACGCATCATGGCTGGTCTCGATACGGAGATTGACGGCGAAGCACGCGCACAGAAAGACATCAACGTGGGTTATCTGCCCCAGGAGCCACAGCTGGATGATGAGCTTGATGTGCGCGGTAACGTGGAACAGGGTGTTGCCCCGATCATGGCCATCATCAACGAATACAATGAAATATCGGAAAAGTTTGCTGAGCCCATGGATGATGAACAGATGACCGAGCTGCTGGAGCGGCAAGGTGAACTGGCTACGCAGATTGATGCCGTGGACGGCTGGGATATCGACCGAACTTTAGATATTGCTGCGGATGCGCTGCGCCTGCCACCCTGGGAAACCCCGGTCAACGTGCTCTCTGGCGGTGAGCGTCGACGCGTGGCACTGTGCGCCCTGTTACTGTCCAAACCCGACATGCTGCTGCTGGACGAACCTACCAACCACCTGGATGCGGAAAGTGTCAGCTGGCTGGAACACTTTCTCGACGACTACAGCGGCACTGTTGTGGCTGTTACCCACGATCGTTATTTCCTCGACAACGTTGCCGGCTGGATTTTAGAACTCGATCGGGGTCGGGGCATTCCGTTTGAAGGTAACTACAGCCATTGGCTGGAAAACAAAGAGCAACGTCTGCAGACCGAAGCGTCACAGGAAAAAGCCCGACAGCGATCAATAAAGTCGGAGCTGGACTGGGTGCGCAGCAACCCTAAAGCCCGGCAGTCAAAATCCCGCGCTCGCCTGGCCCGCTTCGATGAGCTGGTCAATCAGGAATCCGAAGCCCGCCAGGAAACCACCGAATTGTTCATTCCCACCGGCGAACGCCTGGGTGAAAAAGTCATCGAAATCAATGGCCTGTACAAAGGGTTTGGTGAACGCCTGCTGATCGAGAACCTCAACGCCAACATCCCCCAGGGTGCCATTGTCGGCATCATTGGTGGCAACGGCGCGGGCAAGTCGACGTTTTTTAAAATGCTCACTGGCGATGAAACGCCTGACGAAGGCAGTGTCGATATCGGTCCCACCGTACAGATGGCTTTTGTTGATCAGAGCCGCGACGCCCTCGATGGCAGCAAAACAGTCTGGGAAGAAATTTCCGACGGTCAGGACATCATGCGGGTTGGCAGACATGAGATCCAAAGTCGTGCCTATGTTGGGCGTTTCAATTTCAAAGGCAGCGACCAGCAGAAACGTGTGGGCGACCTGTCCGGTGGTGAACGCAATCGTGTTCACCTGGCCAAGCTGTTACGCAGCGGTGCCAACGTGCTGCTGCTGGACGAGCCGACAAACGATCTCGATGTAGAGACGCTACGCGCGCTGGAAGAGGCGCTGTTGAATTTTGCCGGCACCGTGCTGGTGATATCTCACGACAGATGGTTCCTTGATCGGGTTGCCACCCATATTCTGGCGTTTGAAGGCGATTCCCATGTTGAGTGGTTCGAAGGCAACTACAGTGACTATGAAGCCGATCATAAACGCCGTTTTGGTGATGCTGGACCGACTCGGATCAAGTACAAACCGATACACAGGGCCTAAGCAGCGCGCAAAAAAATTGCCTGCCTTAGAGGTTAGTCAGAACCTCTAAGGCACTGCTGAGGCTCTGCACGCCGTGCACTGCCATGTTAGGCAGGTTTTCCTTGGGACGATTGGCAAACGGCACTATCGCGCGCTTGAAGCCGTGCTTGGCGGCCTCACGCAGGCGCTCCTGGCCGTTAGCCACCGGACGCAGTTCGCCGGTCAGACCCAACTCCCCGAAAACAATCAGATCCCGCGGCAGCACCCGATCACGAAAAGACGATAACACCGCCAGCAGCAGCGCCAGATCAGCACCGGTCTCCGTGATGCGCACACCGCCAACCACATTAGCAAACACATCCTGATCAGCCAGGGTAATGCCACAATGCCTGTGCATCACCGCCAGATGCATCGCCAGCCGCTGCTGATCCAGGCCCACAGCAACGCGTTTGGCGTAGCCTCCTGCCACTTCATCCACCAGTGCCTGAATCTCCACCAACAAAGGTCTTGTACCTTCCCAGGTCACCGTCGCGACGCTGCCGGGGGAATCTACTTCACCGCGTTGCAGGAAAATCGCTGACGGGTTAGCCACTTCTTTCATGCCCAGATCTGTCATGGCAAAGACACCAAGCTCATTGATGGCGCCAAAGCGATTTTTATGACCGCGCAAGGTTCGATAACGACTGCCTGCCGGGCTGTCGAGCATCATGAAACAATCAATCATATGTTCCAGCACCTTCGGACCTGCCAGCCCACCCTCTTTGGTGATGTGCCCAACCAGAATAATGACGGTATCTGTCTGTTTCGCCAGACGGGTGAAAAACGCCGCGGTTTCGCGCACCTGGGTCACAGAACCCGGCGTTGCATCAAGGGCATCCATCTGCAATACCTGCACAGAATCCAGCACAACCACATCGGGTTTACGCTGGGTGATGTGGCTGGCAATCACTTCGGCGCGCGTCTCCGAGGCAACATCGAGCCCGTCCATCGGTAGCTCCAGACGCTTGGCGCGCATCGCCAGCTGCTGCAGAGACTCTTCCCCGGTGACATACAAGACGCCACGGGATTGCGCCATTTTTGTACACACCTGCAACAGCAGTGTGCTTTTACCAGCGCCAGGATCGCCACCAATCAGCACCACGGAACCAGGCACCAGGCCGCCGCCAAGGACGCGATCCAGCTCACCAAAAGTGGTGGTCAGGCGCTCGGCTTCCTGTGCTTTGACTTCGTTGAGTTTTTGAATCTGCGCTGCGGCACCGGCAAAACCTACCCGGGATTCTTTGATCGGGCTGATATTCACCCGGGACAGCGTGTTCCACTCGTTACAGGCGTTGCACTGCCCCTGCCATTTGGCAAATTCAGCGCCACAGTCACTGCAGACGTAAGCGGTTTTGGTTTTGGTTTTGGCCACGGCTACAGGTACTTCGGTCTAAACATAATCGGCGTAAATATCCGACGCCAGATTTTCAAATTTGGTCAGGTTGCCGATCCACGACAGGCGGACTTTGCCAATCGGACCATTACGCTGTTTGCCGATGATGATTTCTGCAACACCTTTGTCTTCGGTATCTTCGTTGTAAACCTCATCACGATAGATAAACAAAATGACGTCGGCATCCTGCTCGATAGCGCCAGACTCCCGCAGGTCTGACATCATCGGGCGTTTGTCCGGCCGGGCTTCCAGTGCACGGTTTAACTGGGAAAGAGCGATCACCGGACAGCGCATTTCTTTAGCCAGCGCCTTTAAAGAACGGGAGATTTCAGAAATTTCACCGGCTCTGGATTCAGATTTATCCGCGGTCCGCATCAGCTGCAGATAATCCACCGCAATCAGACCCAGACCACCGGCTTCCCGTGCGACCCGGCGCGCCCGGGAGCGCACGTCGCCAGGCGTTAACGCCGGCGTGTCATCAACGTAGAGTTTTTTATCGCGCAACTGACTGACTGCACCGGTGAAACGCGCCCAGTCGTCGTCCTGCAACGATCCGTCGCGCAAACGCGTCTGATCAATACGGCCCAGGCTCGACAGCATACGCATGACAATCTGTTCTGAAGGCATCTCCATACTGAACACCAGCACTGCCTCGCCGGACATGACCGCATGCTCAACCATGTTCACCGCAAAAGCAGTTTTACCCATGGAAGGGCGGGCGGCAATAATCACCAGATCTGAGGACTGCAGACCAGAGGTCTTTTTATCAAGATCTGCAAACCCTGTTGCAACACCTGTGGTGCCGCCTTTGTTGTTGTAGAGAAATTCTACTTTTTCCACCGCTCTGGACAGCAGCGGTGCAACTTTTTCCGGACCACCTTCTGTGCTGCGGTTTTCCGCAATTTCAAATACCGACTGTTCGGCAATTTCAACCAGCGCGTTGCTGTCGCGGCCATCGGGTGAAAAAGCAGCGTCGGCTATCTTGTTGGCAGCACCGATGAGCTGACGCATGATTGATCGCTCACGGACAATTTTGCCATACGCCAGCACGTTGCTGGCGCCTGGCGTTGCCTCTGCCAGTTCTGCAAGGTAGGTGACGTCACCCGCCTTTTCCAGCAACGCCTGAGAGCGCAAGCGTTCTGATACGGTCACGGCGTCCATGGGCTCATCGGCATTTGCCAGCGCCATCATCGCTTCAAAAATAATCTGATGCTGGGTGCGATAAAAGTCGTGAGCATGGACAATTTCCACCAGGTCGAACCAGGCTTCGTTGTTCAGCATCAGCCCCCCTAATACAGACTGTTCAGCCTCTATAGAGTGCGGGGGTACTTTAAGGTTAATGGGTGACGGTGGTTCGGGGGCGTATTCAGACATGGAGCGAATTTGTGTAGACGGTTGAAGACTTTGCTCGGTTGCCTGAATTTTTGCAACCACTAAGCGACGCGCTAATGCAAAAACCCTGCTTTTTACGGCAAAAAAAGAACTGCAAAAAAAAGGGCCCCGATGGGACCCTTTCAAACGGCACTTAAAGTGCTTCTTATTCTGAAACTTCTATATACGCAGTTAGTTACTGATTATTCAGCCACCACGTTGACTTTGATGTCCACGGTGACTTCTGAATGTAACTGCAGCGCAATGTCGTATTCTCCGGTCATACGGATCACACCTTCCGGCATGCGCACTTCCGCGCGCGCTACTTCATGTCCATCACTGGTGAGCGCATCAGCGATATCCTGAGTGCCCACTGAACCGTAGAGACGTCCTTCTTCACCGGTTTTCACAACCATCGTAAGGACAACGTCTTTCAGACTTTCGCCGCGGGTTTGAGCTGCACCAAGTTTTTCGTTGGCAGCTGATTCAAGCTCCGCGCGACGTGCTTCAAACTCTGCACGATTGGTCTTATTGGCCTGCACCGCTCGACCCTGAGGAATCAGGAAATTACGGGCAAAACCAGGCTTAACCACCACTTCGTCACCGAGTTCACCTAGATTGTTCACCGGCTCGAGTAAAATAATATTCATCCAAATCTCCTCGACCTAGTTGTGCTGGTCCGTGTAGGGCAGCAGCGCAAGGTAACGTGCGCGTTTAACTTCTTTGGCCAGCATGCGTTGAAAACGGGCGGAAGTACCGGTGATGCGACTGGGCACAATCTTTCCGGTTTCGCCAATAAACTGACGCAGGGTGTCCAGATCTTTGTAATCGATATCACCCTCTTGCTGGGCTTGTTGCATACGACGACGGCTCATGAGCTGGGCTCCTCTTCGGTATCCGCAGCAGACTCTGCAGCTGCTTCGGTGTTATCTGATGACTCACCACTTTCTTCTTCAGAGCTGGCGTTCTGCGCAGCACGAGCGGCATATTCTTCTTCGCGACGACGTTCGCGTTCTTTGTCTTTTTCCTGATCGCGCAATTCTTCTTCGTAGATCTTCGAGTTACCTACCTGCGGCTCATTGCGGCGAATGACCATGCTGCGGATAACCGCGTCGTTGAAACGGAAAGCGCTCATCAACTCATCGTACACACCCTGGTCAACCTCAATGTTCATGAGGATATAGTGGGCTTTGTGAATCTTGGCGATAGGGAAGGCAAGCTGACGCCGGCCCCAGTCTTCCGTGCGGTGGACGACACCGTTGCCGCGCTCGATCATGGCATGGTAGCGCTCGATCATCCCGGGCACCTGGTCACTCTGGTCCGGATGGACCATAAAAACGACTTCATAATGTCGCATAACATCTCCTTTCGGTTAGCGCCGCGATGGATATTGAATTGCCAATACCCGCCTTGTCGGCGTTTCGCCTCCGACGTCTCTGGCTTTTTATCCAGGTTACGCGTGAGGCAAGGTTTACCCACCAAAATTGTGGGGGCGCGCATTGTATGGGGGAAGGCAGCTTGAAGCAAGTTGTCCTGCTGGCACTGGAGGGGCGCTAGATTCGGGCTTCCCCGGAGACTATTCTGCAGCTTACCTGTTCAGGTGAGAGGAACATGATGCAGCTACACAAGATCACGCTATTGATCGCGTTCACCAGTGGAGGTTTGCTCGGTTGGCTGGCAGATACGGCCATCTCCTCTTCTGAAAGTGTTGCATTACGATCACAAACAACACTACCAAAAACAATGTCAGAACCGGCATTGAGTAACTCGCCAGGGTCTCTGCAACGATTGCGCACACTGTTACAGCAAGCGCTTGCTGCACATGCCGATCACCCGCCGAATCGTGCCGGAGAAGCCTACGTGAACGATTTAATCGAGACCCTTGCTCAACATGCGCCAATGGAAACCGCCAGGCAGATCATTAGCTCTCCGGTTATACACACCAAGCAGGCGGCTATGCTGAACCTGACGGCGCGCGTCTGGTATGAAGCCGCAGGCGTAGAAACCCTCAGCCTCTTTAACCAGGCTCAGACGTCCACAGACCTCGAACCCTTCCTTCAACGCCTTTTTTCATGGGTTGCCAACCAACAACCTCTGGCAGCATTACCCCATATCCTGGCTTTACCTTCATCACCGTTGCGCGAACGCCTGTTTGTCAACGTCGCCTACGGCGTTGACGTGAAAGACGTCGATGCCATCATTAAAATAATTGACGACCTGCCTGTTGATGAACGGGGTCGTGTGGCGAGTATCGCGGGCGAGGCATTGGCACGCAAAGCACCTGAGCGTGCGTTGCTTTGGGCTGACACACTCACCGATGCCCAGGCCGCTAGAATACTTAAAACAGCACTGCGATTGATTGCCGACACTGACCCGCTACGCGCCATCAATCTCGCCAAACGCATGAGCGACAAACATAGCGTCGATGTCATCAGAAATGCGCTAGCAGTCCTATCAAGTACCGATCCACTAGAAGCGATTACACAATACGAACAGTTACCCGACTCATGGTGGAAAAGTCGAGCGCTGTTGGGACTGGTCAACGGCTGGGGTGCAAATGACCCCGCAGCTGCAGCAAACTGGCTGGCCTCGGTTGACACCCCCCCGGGGCAGGAAAATCTAATGACCACGCTGGGACGCCTATGGGCTCAAAGTGAACCCCTTGCCGCCGCGGACTATCTATCGCAACTGCCTGAACACACCCGTTTGGCCTGGTTGAAAGGCATTGTAAGAGCAACGTCAGATAAGGCACCCGAGGACAATCTTGAGTGGATACAGCGTTTTCGGGACGAAAAGTACTTTCCTCAGCTGCTCACCTACTCCATGGAATCTCTGTATCGCCAGAACCATAGCGTGGCCCTGGGTTATGTCATGGCCATGGATGAAGTGAATCGGAACATCGCACTACCTGGCTTGATCAGACGGACCGCGAGCAACGATGCTGCACTGGCTGCAACCTGGCTTCCGGAGATCACCGACGCCAGCTATCGCAAAGCGGCAACGGAAACCGTGGTCGATAACTGGATAAAACATGACCTGACCGGTGCAGAACAATGGATTAACGATTTACCCGAAGGAGACATCAAAGACACTGCCCTTGCATCCATGATGATTCATGGTGGCGCAGCGGAAAATGTATCTCTAGCCGCAAACATCAAAAACCGAGAGACACGCCTCGCCGCTTACCTGGGCAGCACCATGCCGTATTATTGCGCGAAGATTTCAGTGTCTTTTCTGCAACAGATACCGCTCAACCCGGAACAGTGGCGCTCGGTTGAAACGCGACTGCGTTCTTCGGATTCGACCGATGAAAGAAGTTTTCAATTCAGCTTCAGATAACGACCCGGTGAAAATTAGCTCCCTAAGATTTAAGTCACTTTCAACGTCGATAAAAACGACGCCATCCACCCTCTCTACAGGCCGTAAAATCAGTAACATTGCGCCATGCTTGATCTTCGCAACGTCGCTATCGTCACCTGGCTGCTGTTCTGGACCGGCCCTTTGGCAGCCTATCTATTGTCCGCCAACGCCGGCTACGTCGACTGGTGTGTACCGCACCTGACCGGTTGCGACAGCATCAGCGCCAGTGGCCGCCATGGCTGGGGATTTTTTGTCTTCAAAGCCACCATGCTGCCCGCCGCAGGTCTGACCCTCATCTACTGGATTCTGTGTTATCGGTGGTTAAACCTGATCATCACGCCGGCGCGGGTTGATCAGGTGATTCTCACGCTGGGACTGGTCGGTGCGCTTTTCCTGGTGCTGTATGTGACTTTTCTGGGTTCCGACGGCGACACTTACCGCACTTTGCGCCGCTATGGCACGGTGGTGTTTTTCGGCTTCACCTTCCTTGCGCAACTGTTGTTCGCCAAGCGCATCATCGATGCTGAAATCAGTTCGCCGATGGTGCGCTGGAAGTATCGAATGGCCATATTCATGTTCTGGGGAGGGCTTGCGTTTGCGGTGCTGGCCAACTTTTTCGAAGATGACGATTTCCTGCAGAATATTTCAGAGTGGAACTTTGCTTCCGCACTCACTGCATTTCCCCTGCTCACCTGGTTCCTATGGCGTCATACGGGTTTCCGGGTCGACTTCCGGCGCGATTAAAAAGACTGCTTTGCGGTAATGGTGAATTCCCAACTGCTGACAAATGGACCATCCACCAGCGGCTTGGCCAGGTCGATATGCACCAGACGATCCCGCCGGGTGCGTACACTCTCCAACCGCAAGCCGATACCGACGTTGCTCAGCACATCAAAGTGTTCCCCCTCCCGGGGTGGCACCCAGGCCGGTGGATCATCTTCGAACCAGGCACGGCCAACATCGAGAAATGCCGCGTAACCAACACGGAACAGTCCAAAAGGGTAAGCGCTGGAATAGTAGCGTTGCTCTAGTGTCGCCAGCACACTGCGGTCGCCAATCTGGTATCTGGTGGGATAGCCGCGTAAACCATCGTCTCCACCCAGGGTCAGTTGCTGATCTAAAGGCAGATTCCGCGTGAGGGTGTAATCCAGGCTGGCAAAAAACCGCCACTTCTCATTCTGTTGCCATAGATAGCTGGCTCTGCCTTCCAGCCACAGATCTTCGGTGGCGCTTTCCTCCAGCTGGTAACGGCTGCGCAACTCTGCTGAGAGGCTGAGCAGGTGACCGCGCGCCAGATACTGCCTATGGCTGGCCGCCCCGCGCAGCAGCAGATAGTCACCAATACCGCCAAACGCCTCCGGCGACCAGCCGAGTTCTGCATAGAGGTTCCAGCCCAGGTTAATGTCTTCAACTATGCCCACGCGATCAACATCGGTGCGCGCCTCAAATTGCTCTTCAATCAGCGACCAAGCAACGTAGGGATAGACAAATTTGCGTTCGTCTTCGCTGGGGCCGGGAAAATCCAGCGGATACTCAAAGCGCTCATGCTGATAACGCACGCCCGCAAAATATCGATTCACCCAACCCTGCTGGCGACCTGATGAACGGCCAACAAAGACATTGGCCGTATCTGTCTTGCCACGCAGTTCAAACTGGTCTTTGCCGAGGAACTCCAGGTCTTCTTTGCGCACAAAGTGATTGACCGCCAAGCCGACGGCATAAGGTGTGTCCAGCGCAAAAAACGGTCGGCTCAAGCTCGCGCCATAACGTTCGCCGTCATCGTTATCAGCGGCCACCAGACCCCCACGCCAGCGTGAGCCAGAAATATTAGGGTCGTCATAACTCAGGAATGTGCCGGAGCGGTCGACGTCATCAAAGTACTCCACACTCAAGCCTTTGCCCGTGCCGAGGAAATTCACGTCAGACAAACTCACAGAGGTTTCATTGTCACCACCGGACCGGGTCAGACCTATGCCTGGCGTCAGCGTCCAGACATCGCGGACAACGACATCCAGATCCAACTGAGTACCGCACACCTGACGCACCAGCACCCGGGCGTCATAGAGGAAAGCTTTGTCGCGTAATATGCGCTCAGCCTCCTGGCGCCTGTTCTCATCGATCAGCGTGCCTGAATCAATGGGAAAAGCAGCTGACAGAGCTTTTTCGTTAGTCACTATGTTAAATCGGTTCGCCTGGCGGGCCAGCCAATGGTTGCGGTCTGGAAATACGTTCTGGCGAATGAAGCGAACCTTGCCAAGCACGTATTGGGTATCGCCTCCGGGCCAAGCTGTCCAGACTTGAGTGTGTTCGCCACGCGCCTGGAAATCGAATTCTTCAAGCTGCTGCGGCGTTAACCCATGTACAGCCTGACAAGAATCGTCGGCCTCAAGCGACAGATTGGCAGCCAGGACAACAGATAGATAGCTGGCTGCAAGCGCATACGACATGCTCATCTTCCAGACTGAACGTTGCCCCACATAATGCCATCACCAACTTGAAAAATGTTCATCTTCAAAGCTAATTTTTTTCTTTGAATATCTTCGTTTTTTATTACGATGCGCGGGCCAGCGGAAGGTAGCTGAACCCTCCCTTTCCTCTGTGGATGATCTGCCTGTCTCACCTTGAATCAGGCAACAATATTTTTTCAACCACCTAGGTTTATCGGGTATACGAGGGTCTTGCACATGGGCGAATTTGCCGTCTATGAAGCATTTAGTCCGCTGGACTATCTGCAGAGTTACTATGGGCAACTGGACAGCGAGGCCGACGGCCTGCTGAACTTTCTGGTTGAGCAGTTTGAACACATTGAAGCCGGCGCCAGAGTCCTTGAATTTGGTGGCGGTCCCACCTTAATTGGTCTGATTCCTGCGGCGCGAAGGGCAGCTTCCATACACTTCTGCGACTATGTTGCGGAAAACCGGCAGTTTGTCGAACGGTGGTTGGCCGGAGACGAACAGGAATTCGACTGGCACGTATTTGTCGAACGCTGCTTGCAGTTTGAAGGTATCCCTCATCCTGATGCGGGTCAGATCGAAGCGCGCTGTGAGCTGATCAGGTCTGTTGTTGGGCCTGTCACCTCCTGTGATGTTTACCAGCGTCCACCCATCCAGAGCGACCACCTTTTTGACGTGGTCATTACAAACTACTGCCTGGATGCGGTTACCAACGACATCAAAGAGTGGCACCAGCACATCGAAACTCTGAAACAGATGCTGCAACCTGGCGGTCTGTTTATCATGTCATCCCTGAAGCAGGCGACCTATTCTGACTTTGGCGAAACGCGTTATCCCAACGTGTATCTGCTTGAAGACGACGTACGTACCGGCCTGATCCAGGCTGGCTTTGCCGAGCACTCTATCCGTATCGCCACAGCACCGGCTGATCATGAATCACGCGAGTACCGTGGCGTTATCTTTGCAGCGGCTCAGGCTTAGCTGAACCCACTTTGTTCTCAACAACCGAAACTGGAGCAATCAACACAATGATTGAAAGCAAACCTTCGCCTGTGGCACCCGCTGAATACAAGCGGATTTTTGTAGATGGGATTTATTACTACGGAAAACACGTTGTCCTGAGCGCACGACACTGCAATGAGAAACTGCTCGATGTTGACGCCATTGCAGACTTTCTAGGTGAACTTGTCCTGAAAATAGACATGGTCGCTTACGGCGAACCTCTGGTAGCTCGTTTTGGCGGCGGCATCGAAGAAGGTATTTCCGGTGTCCAGCTGATCGAAACCAGCGCGATCACAGTACACACCAATGACATGGCAAGAGACCTGTACCTCGACGTGTTCAGCTGCAAAGGCTATAACGAACTTGACGTGCTCGCCTTTGTCAGCCAGTTTTTTGGCACCCAGGACATCAACTACCAGACCCTGTTACGGAAGTAGACAGATGAACATGGGTATAACCAGCGAAACCGCTTCACTGCGATTTTATCCCGACTATTTGCCTGTTTTTCCACACGAGCCGACCCGCGACCGGTTTCATATCGGCTACGAGAACGATCATCTCGGCGAAGGCGTGCGTTCTCTGGTACCGTTCTCCATCGGGGATGTTGTCTTCGCCTGCACCGGCTTCGTGTGTGCTGAGGTCACACAGTTCTCTCTGCAGCTGGCGCCCGGTCTGCACCTGCACGACCCTTACTTCTACGGCAAAATTCTGCACAGTTGTGATCCAAACACCTACGTTGATGTTGCCACCCGCCAATTCAAAGCCGTGCAGCCGATTCAACCCGGTGATTTTGTCACCATGGATTATGCGCAGACCGAAGATTATCTGTTCCGCAGATTTCCCTGTGCCTGTGGGGCAAGCTCGTGCCGCAAAAACGTGCTGGGGCGCTTACAGATGCCGGCCGCCGACCCGGCAACCGTCTCTGTGCCACCGGCACAGGTTCTAACAGAACTGGTCAGTGAGCAGATGGACCTTTTTGATGTTCTACGGGAGCGCAAGCGCAGACAGATACTCGATCAACTGCTTGAAAGTAATGCCAGCCTGCAACAGCTGATGAAAACGTTGAACCTGCGCTATGGCAGCGTCTCGTCACATATACGCATTCTTCGCCAGGCGGGCCTGGTTCGCCAGTACAAAATTGGGCGCCAGGTATATTATGCGCCAGACAAACAGCAGCTTGCTGAGCTTCTTGAGCACGGTCGCAATGATGTTGAACGTTGGCTGCTACAGATTACTGAGCCGACGCGGCTGTCATTCGCTGGCGCTGCAGCTCGAACAGGATGACACCGGTGGCCACGGACACATTGAGGCTGCTGACACTGCCTTGCATTGGAATATGCACCAGCTGATCACAGTGCTCCCTGGTCAGCCGGCGCAAGCCTTTACCTTCACTGCCCATCACCAACGCTAACCCATCCTGGGCATCAATCTCGGTATAGGATTGCGCCGCCTCGCCATCAGCACCGATGATCCAGACGTTGCGTTGCATCAGTTGTTTCATAAACCGCGCGAGATTGACCACCTCAACAATGAGCAGATTTTCTGCCCCACCCTGAGCCGTTTTCAGTGCCACCGGGCTCAGTGGCGCACTGTTGCGTTTGGGCACAATCACCGCATCTACCCCGGCAGCATTGGCACTGCGTAAACAGGCACCAAAATTGCGCGGATCTGTCACACCATCAAGAATGAGGAACAACGGTGGCGTTTTAAATTTGTCCCAGCTGTCAAACAGGTCCTGTTCCCGAGCCAACGCCAGCTCGTGGCATTCCAGCAACACACCCTGGTGTGCAGCATCAGCGGCACGTCGCCGAAACCAGGTGGCGTCCATGCTCTGGTGGCGAATGCCAGCGTCTTTAGCCAGGCTGATCAGCTCATTCACTCGCGCGTCACGACGCCCCTGCAGAATGTACAATGCCCGCGCTCGCTCAGGGGAATCACGCAAGAGTGCGCGGGCCGGCTGGATACCATAAACATCACTCATGAGCGTTTCTTACGCCGCCCAGCGGAAGATTTCTTTTTACCCCGCGGCGGTCCTGCTGATTTCTTTGTGCGCCCGCTGGCCATGCCGGGCAGGCTTAAATCAATACGACCCTGGGGAGGGTCGATATCATTCACAATGACCTGCAACCGATCACCCAGCCGAAACTTACGACCGCTGCGCTCGCCGACCAGGGCAAATGCTCTGGCATCGAAGTTAAAATAATCTGAGCCGAGGTTAGAAATGTGCAGAAGACCCTGAACATAGTACTTATCCAGATCGACAAACAGACCAAACTCAGTGACGCTGGCGATCACACCCTCAAACGTGTCACCGACACGATCGCGGAGAAAATCGCATTTCAGCCAGGCATCTACCATCCAGCCGGCACTTTCCGCACGCCTTTCATTGCTTGAACAGATTTCTCCAAGCTGATGCAGCTCATCCATGCCCGGTACATTTTTACTTTTGCGGCCAGCCCGTTTCGCCAACACCGATTTTATCGCGCGATGGACAATCAGATCCGGATAGCGCCGGATCGGTGAGGTGAAATGCATGTAGCGATCCAGCGCGAGGCCGAAGTGACCCTGGTTGTTTGGACTGTATAGCGCCTGTTTCAGCGTGCGCAGTGCCATCTGTCCATATAACCATGGGTCCGCATAATCAGGCAGGCGGTTCAGCGCAGACTGCAGCACCAGAGGCGTAATTTCACCGCTGGGCAGTTTCACCCCAATCTGGCCAAGGGCCTGGCTGAATTCTGCCACCTTGTCCGGATCCGGTGTTTCGTGAACGCGATAGAGTGCGGGCACCTGCGCTTCTTCCAAAAATACCGCCGCGCTGACATTAGCCGCAATCATGGCTTCTTCAATAAGTTGATGGGCAACCAGACGTTCAACAGGGATGATCGACGCAACCCGACCATCCTGAATTTCGATGCTCGCCTCGTGGGTCTCAAATTCCAGCGCGCCACGTTTGGCACGGGCTGCACGCATCACATCGTGCAACTGAGCCAGCGCCTTGATCGACTGGTTCACCGCCTGGGCGGAAGCCCTACTCACGGGCAAACTGGCCCCGCTATCCAGATAAGCCTGCACCTGGTTATAAGTTAGCCGTGCATGCGAAAAAATAACCGCCTCGCTGAACTGATGTTTATAAATATTGCCTTTGGCATCTATGAACATTTCGCAGGCCAACGCCAGGCGCGGCTCTTCCGGCCGCAGCGAACACAACCCGTTAGACAACGCTTCCGGCAGCATCGGAATGACCCGCTCCGGGAAGTAGACTGATGTGCTACGCAGCACGGCTTCATCGTCCAGGGGCGTTTTGCGTTTCACATAGTGGCCCACATCTGCAATGGCTACCACCAGGCGGAACCCGCCAGCACGCCGCTTCAGCGGCTCAGCATAAACCGCATCGTCGAAGTCTCTGGCGGTTTCTCCATCAATGGTTACCAGCGGTAATCCAGTCAGATCTTCACGTTGGGGATGACGACCTGCGACCACTCTGGTTGGCAGCTTAGACACGGCTGAGGTGACCTCAGCGGGCCACTCAAACGGGATACCGCCGGCGGTGACCGCTGTCTGGATGGCCTGGTCCAAAACATTTTCACTGGCCAGAATGTGAGCAACGATGCCGCTTAAGCCACGCTCATCTCGCTCCGTGATGGTGACCTGCACAGTATCGCCGTCGCGTGCTTTTTTTGCCGGCTGCAGAATTTTGACACGACCCCGATCCTGGCCCAGGCCGTTCACAAACTGGTCGCGTCCCTGCTTGCTGAAAATTCCGGTAAACAATGCCTGGGAAAGACGGGTGACCTGTAACACCTGTGCGTGACCTTCGCTGACGCGATATTCAATTTCATCACCGACACGCAGATTCATACGCCCGGCATCATCTATAGGCAGATCATCCACAACCATCATGCGACCGCGCAGCTGCACCACAGCGCTGCGGGGTGCGCCGCCATCCGGCAATTGGTAATCACCGTGTCGATTGCGCTGGAGTTCTCCACTGCGCAGCAAGCCTTTTAGCATCTGACGCAGCTGAGTAATGGTTTTGGGCTTATCTGCGCCAGCAAGGTGTGTCAGGGTCGACCACGCTACGGGACCGGGTTCAGCACTGATCAGCGCCAGAATTTCCCTGGCGGTGTAGCGATTAGCACCCGAGTTGCGCTTTTTTGGGCTTTTCTTTTGACCAGCGGTTTTATTTTTATTGTTTTGTCCGTTCGCCAAGATTGACACCTTATGTCAGATTTCAGTACAGTCCGCACCCCTGTGCCCAGGTGGTGAAATTGGTAGACACGCT